TTATATGATTCGTTGAAAGAAGCAGGTGCTATGCAGCTCAAGCCAACTGTGGCCATGTAGAAACGTGTTGGGGTAGGATTTCGTTTTACCTTACCTACAAGCTAATAAGTTAGCCGGTTACTATTTCATGATGCTGGCAAAAGAAATGAGATTCCTGGGTCAGATACAAAGAACTTTGTTAATCAAAGGCACAGCAAGCAGCATGATCATGAGCATATTTGTACCAATTCCCTTTCCTTGCCACATTACAATGAGCCCTGGCCCAGATTTAACGTAAGTGGTTTCTAAATGATGCATGCATAGCATTACTTACACTAAGGGAAGCTATTTGGTCATTAAAGATCTCCATTGTATAGTCCCATAATTGCATCAATTAAGTGACATTTCCAGAGAGTCATGCTTCATAAATCAATAATTTCAGATTTATTTACAATTAGCAACACTGACAGACCAGGTACATCCTGCTATAAAAGCATTTTCTAAGGATTCTGCCCCCAGTAAATACCACTACTGTGGTTGCAAAAATGTCTGTCATTAATGTTTATAAGAAGATTTGATCAGAAGAAAGATCATATGATCATATCAAAAGATGAAGAAAAGCATTTCATAAAATCCAACATCCATTCATGACAAAAAACTTTCGGCAAACTAGGAATAAATGGGAAGTTCCTCAACTTGATAAAGAACATCTACAAAAAACCTATAGCTAACATTATAGTTAATGATGACAAATTAGATGCTTTTCTCCAAACACTGGGAACAAGAAATGTATGTCTCCTCTCATCACCCCTATTCAGTATTGTAGTGGAAGTCCTAATTAATGCAATAGAAAAGGAAAAGGAAACAAAGGTACACAGATTGGGAAGAAAGAAATATAATTGTCTTTGTTGGAAGATGATATGATTGTCTATGTAGAACATCTCAAAGAATCAGCAAAAAACCTTCTGGAACTAATAAGCAATTGTATCAGGGTTTCAGGACACAAAACTTATATACAAAAGTCAACTGCTTTCCTGTCTGCCATCAATGAACATTTGGATTTAGAAATTTAAAACACAATGCCATTTACATTAGCACTCCCTGAAATGGAAATACTTAGATTTAAACTTGACAAAATATGTACAATATCTATATTAGGAAAACCACACAACT